ATTTAGGCATCTAGACGTGGTGAGGACAACTTACTAAGTTAAAACCAAGAATCAGAAAGGGGATGAAAAGGGATGGAAGCATATATACTGCTACAGGGCAGTAGGGGTGCATAAAATCACATATATATATGTGATTTTGTGTTTCCTACCTACGCCGCCATTTGCGGCCATGGCTGTCAATCACTGGGGTCCCAGCCGGTGATTCCCCACCGGCGCCCGGTGATTACCGAGCATCTGCAATGGGGAGGAGGACTGCTTTGTTTTCTAACAGTCCTCCTCCCTGTCAGCTCAAGCACACTGCTCTGGATGGCTGTGCACAGTACAGCCATCCAGAGCAGTGTGATTACAGTAAAGCCCACACACACCACCCCCTAGAAAAACACTCCCTGCACACAATTAACCCTTTGATCGCCCCTGATGTTAACCCCTTCCTACCCAGTGCCATTAGTACAGTGTCAGTGCTATTTTTTTTAGCACTGATCACTGTATTGGTGTCCCTGGGGATGTCAGTGACACCAAGTCAGTTCCCCCCAGTGTCAGAATGCCTGCCGCAGTCCCACTATAATTTGCTGATCACCTCCATTACTAGTAAAAAATAAAAAAAAATTCAAGTATCTATACCGCCATTTGTAAATGCTATAACTTTCACGCAAACCAATTACTTTACACGGATTGGGATTTTTTTTTTTAGCAAAGACATGTAGCAGAATACATTTTGGCATAAATTTATGCTGAAATTTTTTTTTGTTTTTGTTTTTTTTCCTAAGGGTATATAGACTTCTTTAATTGTTGTTTTGATTATTATAGGCTACTGGTTTATTTCTACCCAGGTGGATATAACCTACATACATCTTCTAGGACCATCATATATAGATAATAAAAATGCTGCACGATGCTATTTGCATGATCATATTTTCAGAACTGTGACTTGCCAGTTCTAACAGAAGGCACTGAAAGTTGGTCTACAGTATTAGAGAGGCTGAGTGCCAAAAAAATTGGACACTTTAAAAATAAGATGTTGCAGAGAAATGTTGAAAGTTTCTTGATTCAAAATAGCAAATCAGTCATTAGTTAAGGAAATAAATTTAGATTGCTCACTGAAAAGACTGTCACTGAAACTGAAGCTCACATATTTTGGACACTTAATACAAAGACAGGAGATGGTTTTGGGGAAAAGTTTGCTGTTGGCAACACTTGAAGATAAAAAATGGATTTTCAGCATTACTAAATCAACAAATATAAACCTTAAACTACTCAGAGAAACACTGGCTGCCAGACAGGCCTGTTGAGTTAGAGTCTTGGAGGTCATGGAGCTTCAGAACCCAATAAATAGCAGCTGAAGAGGAAGGGCAATTAAAGCGGAGCTCCACCCAAAAGGAGAAGTTCTGCTTTAACGCTCTGTCTCCTGCTCCCCATTAAGGATTGGCATCTTTTGGGGGCAGGGTGGAGCGGGTACCCGAATTTGACAGGTACCCGCTTCCACGCCCGCTGTGATCGCATAGGCGATCAGAAGCGGAAGATGTCCTCCCCCCTTCCTTCCCTGTAGTCTTCTGGGACACGTGACAGGTCCCAGAAGACTACGGGGCCATTCACAAAGCGCAGCGCTACTCGCGCATGCGCAGTGGGCACCCGGCTGTGAAGCAGCACTAAAGATGCTGGCACGAGGGAGAGAAGATGGCCGGCGGTGGTGAGGACACCGCTGGACTGAGGGACAGGTAAGTGTCTGTATTTTAAAAATCAGCAGCTACAGTTTTTGTAGTTGCTGACTTTAATTTTTTTTTTCAGCTGGAACTCCGTTTTAATTTGCAAAGCTCCAATTATCCTTGTATGTCATCTGTAGAATGATAACTTTCATAAGAATTGTTCTAGATCTAATCTGGGGCATGTTTATGAAAAAAAGAGAGATGGAAGTTTATGCTGTCCAGCATACTTTATAAATATACGATACACAAATGTGCGACTTTTTATATACAATTGAAATATATACAGTCATGGCCAAAAATATTGGCACCCCTGCATTTCTGTCAGATAATGTACCACTTTGCCCAGAAAATTGTTGCAATTACAAATGTTAAAGCATTCTCGTGTCTTTTTCTTTGTATAAGTATGACACAAAAAAAGTGGAGAAACAAAAAGCCAGATCTGACATATTCCATGAATCCTTTTTATTCAGATGGCCACGTATAGTGCAAGCTGACACAGTTGTACCCTGTGCCTGAAGGTCAGCTTAGTTTGTCTAGAAGTTGATCGAGGTTCTTTATCCACCATACAAACAATCCTTCGTTGCAATCCTTAATCAATTTTTCTCTTTTGTCCACATCCAGGGATATTAGCTACAGTACCATGGGCTGTAAACTTCTTGACAATGTTGCGCACAGTTCTCTCTTAAGATCTCTGGAGATGGACTTGTAATCTTGAGATTGTCCATGCTTTTCCACAATTTTTGTTTCACAAATCCTCAGACAATTATTTGCTGTTCTTTCTCTTCTCCATGCACCACGTGGCACACAGACACACAACAAAGAGGTTGAGCCAATTTCTCACCATTTTAACTGGTTGCCGGTGTGATTTCCATATTGTCAGCACCTGTTAACTGATCCAGGTAAGTTTAATTACAAATTACAGGAGCATCACAAACGTGGAATGCAGTTAATTTTTGCAATATTTTAGAAGGTGCCAATAATTTTGTCCAGTACACTTTCGAGGTTTTGCATGGAATGTGTCAGATTTGGCTTTTTGTTGCTCCACATTTTTTGTGCCATACCAATACAAACAAAAGAAATAAACATTAGAATGTATAAACATTTGTAATTGCAACAATTTTCAGGGCAAAGTGAAACATAGAAACATAGGAAAGTGACGGCAGAAAAAGACTGAGTGGTCCATTGAGTCTGCCTGGTCTTTTTTTTTTTTTTGTTTGTGTGTTTTTTGGGAGGGGGGGTTGTTGCTTTTGTTTTTGTTTGTTTTTTTGTTAACTTTTTTGCCTGAGTATAGATTTATGCTTGTCCCAAGCATGTTTGCAGCTATTTACTGTTGACTGGCTCACTACCTCTGCTGGAACTATATTCAAGCATCAACTACTCTTTCAGTAAAATAGTCTTTCTGAAATTAGTTGTGAACTTTCCTCCAGTTAGTTCAAGGTCAAGTTCCCGAGTTCTTGGTTTTGGTTTCATGTTGAAAATACTGCCCTCCTTAACCTTATTCACCCGCTTGATGTGTTTAAAGGTTTCATTCATGTCTCCTCTTTCCCTTCTTTCCTCTAGACTGTACATGCTAAGTTCCTGAAGTCACTCTTGTTATGTTTTATCCCCCAGACCTTTCACCATTTTTGTTACCCGTCTCTGGACTCGTTCTATGTTATCAATATCTTTTTGTAATTAAGGTCTCCAGAACTGGACACAGTATTCCAAATGAGGTCTAAATAAAGATCTATACAGGTATAGGGGAATCAGGACCTCCTCCTGCTGGTGACCCCTCTAGTGATGCATCCTAGAATTCTATTCACTTTCCCGACTGCCTGGCCACACTGTTTGCTCATTTTGCAATCATCTGAAACAAATTCCCCCCAAGTCCTTTTCCTCTGATGCACTGGCCAACACTGTACCCCAATGTTGTACTCTCGTAAGGCACTCTTTTTCCCTAGGTGCACTATTTTACATTTAGAAACATTGATCTGCAATTTCCACTTTTTTGACCAATCTTCCAGCAATGCCAAATCACGTTCCATGTTACAGACACCTCCAGGGATATCTTCCCTATTACACACCTTTGTGCCATCAGCAAAAAGACATACCGGGGTTTATTTAATAAAGCTGGACAGTGCAAAATCAGGCTCACTTCTGCACAGAAATGAATCAGCTTTTAACCTCTGCTTGTTCAATTAAGCTTTGGTGATAAAAACCTGGAAGCTGATTGGTTTCTATGCAGAAGTGAGCCTGATTTTGCACTCTGCAGCTTTAGTAAATAAACCCCACCTTGTCCAACAAACCTTTAGTTATATCACTTGCATACAGATTAAATAGAACAGTACCTAGTACAGAGCCTTGTGGTACACCACCAGTGACTGGTCTCTTTTCCAAGTGAACTCCATTTACAACCACACTCTGGTATCTATCCTTTAGCCAGCTGCATATCCACTGAACCACCCAAGGGCTAACTCCTAGCTTGTACAACTTTTGTATTAGATCATTATGTGGAACTATATCAAATGATGGGGGCATTATCTGACAGAAATGCAGGAGTGCCAACATTTTTGGGTATGACTGTATATATTATCTGCTTTGAAATTATTTAGGCCAGTTTTTCCAATCCAGACCCCTATGCAAGTTACAATAGAAAGTCCTGGCCATTTAATTTTTCCATTGCAGTCAAAACAATATAACTTGGTCAAGAATGTAAGTAAATAGTGATGGGACTGCTTTCCTTCAAGCCAGCCATAGATGGATCGAATCTTGACTGGTTCAGCAGGGACTAGCAGAGATTCACTCCATCCATGGGCAGGCTGATCGTACCCAAGTCGATCCATCAATCAACTTGGATATGACCAGTCTGTCGGATTTGTAGCATTCCGCTAGCAATAACCCTTGTATTTTGCTGACTGGGAAAAGCTTCCCGTGCCCCCCCTCCAGCACTGAGTGTATTGAGAGAGGAATCGAGCAATTTTCTTTCCTTCCACCCGTGGCAGAGGGAAAGAAAAAGAAAATCGATTAATCTATGGCTTGCCTTACTCTCAGTAAGCTGTGTTGGATTTACTGCTTAATCTGCAATTCAGTATAGCCTGATTGGCTTCCAGTACTGCCTTCTATAGGGAGTGATGTGACAGCCAACAATGTCAATTTAAATGATCCTATGTAGGGTTTTGCAAGTTTCCTGTTTGCAGCACTGTGGTAGGCCTATACCATGTGCAATTGTTGATGGTTCCTGAACAGAACTAGAAAGTAAAGGCAACAAAACATTAAGGACCCTGTGACTATGCTACATAAAAAATATAATTAAAACTCTTACTGTGGGAGGACTGAAGGGGCTCCTGATCGGTGAAAGTGAACATTTTGCCATTTTCCATCACGACGGTGCCAAATACATGTCTCCTCTGATTGGGCAGTTCGGGGAACACCACTGGCATCCAGGTATTGGGTTATGCGGATATAAGCAATGCATGCGGACTCATCCCCCATCAGGTGAATATGAGGGTTCAAGATGGTTGTGTGAAGAGGTTTATTGCTCCGTGACCACACTGAAAGAGAGATAAATGTATTGCTTAGACATTTAAAGTGAAGCTCTATGTTTTACATAGGAAAATAAACACAGAGGTAATAGATACTTACCATGTGCTCATACATTTTATTCAGAGATATTTTGTTTTACAGCTGGTCCAGAGCCGGACTGACAACTCATGGGGACCTCCGGGTAATAGGGGATCATGGGGCCCCTGTGTCCTTGCCCAAACTCAAAAAAAAGCCTATGAAAAAGGTACCAAGGGCATCTCATGGGGCCCCCTACTGACCCCGGGCCCTCGGGGGCAGTGCCCGAGTTTCCAAATGGTCAGTCCACCCCTGAGCTGGTCAGATATAAGCATTATATTTCCTTACTCTATTTTGTATCTGCAGATTTTTATTTTTAGTGTCACTTTAGCAGGAACACAAAGTCCAGTGTTTTTTTTTTAGATTAATATGTAGAAACACTCAGCTTCATGTCAATAATCATATTAATGGATTCAAAATACATAGTTTTCATGTAGAGTATGTAAAAATATGAGGCATGGGGGAAGTTGTCACATACACAGGGTCTGTTTTCTGCTTTGCAGTACTAGACAGTAGTTGTTCTTTATTGCAACTCCAGATTTAAACCTATGAGTTGGTTGACTCATTGAAAACAACAAACACTACAGTACAGGTGAAACTCGAAAAATTAGAATATCATGCAAAAGTTCATTTATTTCAGTAATGCAACTTAAAAGGTGAAACTAATATATGAGATAGACTCATTACATGCAAAGCAAGATAGTTCAAGCCGTGATTTGTCATAATTGTGATGATTATGGCTTACAGCTCATGAAAACCCCAAATCCACAATCTCAGAAAATTTGAATATTGTGAAAAGGTGCAATATTCTCGGCTCAAAGTGTCCCACTCTAATCAGCTAATTAAGCCATAACACCTGCAAAGGGTTCCTGAGCCTTTAAATGGTCTCTCAGTCTGGTTCAGTAGGAATCACAATCATGGGAAAGACTGCTGACCTGACACTTGTGCAGAAAACCATCATTGACACCCTCCATAAGAAGGGAAAGCCTCAAAAGGTAATTGCAAAATAAGTTGGGTGTTCCCAAAGTGCTGTATCAAAGTACATTAATAGAAAGTTATGTGGAAGGGAAAAATGTGGAAGAAAAAGGTGCACAAGCAGCAGGGATGACCACAGCCTGGGCTAGGATTGTCAGGAAAAGCCCATTCAAAAGTGTTGGGGAATTTCACAAGGAGTGGACTGAGGCTGGAGTCAGTGCATCAAGAGCCACCACACACAGACGGATCCTGGACATGGGCTTCAAATGTCGTATTCCTCCTGAACAACAAACAACGTCAGAAGCGTCTTACCTGGGCTAAAGAAAAACAGACCTGGTCTGTTGCTCAGTGGTCCAAAGTCCTCTTTTCTGATGAGTGCAACGTTTGCATCTCATTTGGAAACCAAGGACCCAGAGTATGGAGGAAGAATGGAGAGGCACACACTGCAAAATGCTTGAAGTCCAGTGTGAAGTTTCCACAGTCTGTGTTGATTTGGGGAGCCATGTCATCTGCTGGTGTTGGTCCACTGTGCTTCATTAAGTCCAGGGTCAACACAGCCGTCTACCAGGAGATTTTGGAGCACTTCATGCTTTCTTCCGCAGACGAGCTTTATGGGGATGCTGACTTCATTTTCCAGCAGGACTTGGCACCTGCCCACACTGCCAAAAGCACCAAAACCTGGTTCAATGACCGTGGGATTACTGTGCTTGATTGGCCAGCAAACTCGCCTGACCTGAACCCCATAGAGAATCTAAGGGGCATTGCCAAGAGAAAGATAAGAGACATGAGACCGAACAATGCAGAAGAGCTGAAGGCCGCTATTGAAGCATCCTGGTCTTCCATAACACCTCAGCAGTGCCACAGGCTGATTGAGGCAGTAATTGCTGCAAAAGGGGCCCAAACCAAGTACTGAGTACATATGCATGCTTATACTTTTCAGAGGTCCGATATTGTTCTATGTACAATCCTTGTTTTATTGGTTGCATGTAATATTCTAATTTTCTGAGATTGTGGATTTGGGGTTTTCATGAGCTGTAAGCCATAATCATCACACTTATGAAAAATCACGGCTTGAACTATCTTGCTTTGCATGTAATGAGTCTATCTCATATATTAGTTTCACCTTTTAAGTTGCATTACTGAAATAAATAAACTTTTGCACGATATTCTAATTTTTCGAGTTTCACCTGTACATGTGGCTGATATCATGCCTCAACAGGTAAGAGACATTAGAGTAATTGCACTGATCAACTGAGAGCTCCCTCAGGAGGGTAATCTAGAAATCACTTCTACTTAATACAAAAACAAGAAAGCAGACAAGCAAATTTGTACAATTTTAAGGTCATCAAAAATTATTTTATGTATTTATTTCAGGTACTTATATAGCACCATCAATTTAGGCAGCACTTTACATATACAAAGTACATACACATCAGTTCCAAACCCTCAAGGGGTGGACAATCTAAGGTCCCTAACTTACATTTATACTAGGGCCAATTTAGAAAGGATCCAATTAACCTACCAGCATGTCTTTGGAGTGCGAGAGGAAACTGGAGTACCTGGAAAAACCCAGGCAGGCAACGGGAGAACATGCAAACTCCAGGCTTGTGGTGATGTGGCTGGGATTTGAAGCAGTAACCCTAGCACTACCAGGCAGAAGTGCTAACCATTTAGCCACTGTGCTACTTAAAGGTTTATATCTGTAGTGTATCTCTGCAATGCAAGCACATTTCCCCATGTTTTGTCTCTCTTAAAAATGCTGCAAGTACAGAAAAATACCTGTTCATCTGCCAGAAATCCAGTGGGCTAACAACATTTTGTAATCAGCTGACTATGCTGCCTCTGATGCAGTGAAATCCCAGGCAGCATTGTGAGCCATGTGCAGTTCTCCCCAGCTGGACTATAGAACATCCTCCTAAACTATGGAAATGTGAAAGGTGTGTTGTAGTCCAGTAAGGGTCTGAGAAAGCATTTCACAGCCTCTGTAGACTAAGAACACCAACCTGTGATCCGTGCTCTGTTCGCCCCAGCCGTTTGGCAGCCTTGTTTAAAGTAGTCCCATTTCATAAGCACCAATGGTCTTCCACCTGTGGCCAGATGTGGCCCTTTGCGTGCCCTTATCTGGCCCTTGGGACACTATTCCTTACACTGGCAATAATGATGAGGCATATCCAAAAGTGGGGCATAATTCCTTCTACTGACAGCAACGATGGGGCACTATTCATCCCACTGACATCAACAATGGGACATTATTCATCCCACTGACATCAATGATGGAACACTATTTGGCCCATTGACACCAACGATGGGACACTATTCGCCCCATTGACACCATCAATGAGGCACTAATTATCCCACTGACACCAACGATGGGGCACTATTTGTCCCACTGTCACCAATAATGAGGCATTATTCCTCCCAATGATACCAAAAGTGGGCACTATTCCCTCCACTGATACCAGCGACGGGGCACTATTCTTCCCACTAATACCAATGACTACTATTTTTTGCATTCCACTGGCCAGCAAGCCTGGCGATGTTTACTCCCAGTGACACTGGGGCATTTTTTCTACCCCCACTAGCCAAAATAAGGCCCACTTAAAATATGAAGGCCCTTTGTTTGGAAAGTTTGGTGACTCCTGGTTTACACCTATGAGCCACGTTGGTGTGTGCTGCAAAAAAAGTAGCAAACTTTGCATTTGAGTGCTATAATGCATTTCAAAACTTTCCCATGCATACAGTTAATTGAGTGCCATATAAAAGGAAAAAAGCAAGCACTGCAATGCCCTTTACCATGCATTGTAGCACACACACACACACATGCTGGTATGAATGAGCCCTCATAGAAAACAAGACCTGTTGGTTGCCCATGAGGGCATTAGTGGGAAATCACTACTCTAGTACAAAAATTTAAGGAGCTGGCTGCTGTAAAAACATTGAAGTGGTTCTTTTACCTAAATAGTACTGTACTATCAGAGTCAAAAGCACACTAACAGATGCATCTGCAGGGCGATGACATCATTAATTCAGTGGCGGAACATATTGCTGAATTATAACAATGAGGCCATGTCAAAGGCTTTTTTTGTGTTCATCTTCATGTTACAGCTACATGGTACTGTTGCAATATGTAATTAGCTTTTAAAACAGACATGAGGTTAATTAGAAGAATAAAGACAAAGGAAGCTGGAATTGTTGCTCAGATTAGACTCTCGTTTTTTCAATGAAGGCTAGAAAACAACAGCTTGCCTGCTATAAAGAACAGACTTGTATATGATAATGGCCCAGATATGTGAATGCATCGTTTATTGTAATGTGGACTTTTAATAGCATGAGCCGTTTCAGCACAGACGAATGGAATGACACATAACAATGTCTGTCCTCGGGAGGCTGCCACTGTTGATTTCCATTTTTCTGAAGCCTTGAAGGATTGCAATAGAAACATAGAAAAGTGACAGCCCATTTTTTGTTTTTTTGTTAACCTTTACTTTTTTGCCTGACTATAAATTTGTCCCAAGCATGTTTGAAACCACTTACTGTTGAATGACTCACTACCTCTGCTGGAAGTCTATTTCAAGCATCAACTATCTTTTCAGTAAAATAATACTTAGAAAGATAAAATCTAGAAATAAATCTTAGAAAGATTAGTTTTGAACTTTCCTCCTGTTAGTTTGAGGTAATGCCCCTGTTTTCTTAATCTTGGTTCATATAGAAAATACTGCCCTCTTGAAGCTTATTCATCCCCTTTGTGTATTTAAACGTTTCAATCATGTCCCCTCTTTCCATTCTTTCCTCTAAACTAGAGGTCTTCAAACTTTGGCCTGGAGGCCAGATACGGCTCTTTGCTTGCCTTTATGTGGTCCTTGGGTCCCTATTCCATTAGCTGACACCTACCATGGGGCATAATTCCTTTCACTGACATCAACAATGAGGCACAATTCCTTCCATTGACACCAATGAT